AAGACTGTCCAGCTTGCCCCACATCAGCTTCACCATTGGGCACCATGAATACAAGCTGACAGCAGAGCAATACGTTGTGAAGGTGCGTGTCCTCCTGGCTCTCTGCTCCTGGTCAGGGCCAGAAGAGCCACTGCAAGGAGATATTCTTTCTCTTCCAGGAGACCATCGATGACCAAACCTTCTGCATGAGCGGCTTCCAATCTCTTGACATCCCAACTCGCAGTGGCTCGCTCTGGATTTTAGGAGATGTCTTTATGTCTGCCTTTTACTGCATTTTTGACCGTGGGAATGATAGAGTGGGATTTGCAAAATCTGCTCACAGGGACGATTATTAGTGAGTTGTAATAGCATTCGTTCTGCATCGGCATGGATGCTGATATAATGATTTTGAGCAGACTTGTGAAAAAGGACTAAAGGTGAAACTGAACCAGAATGCAGACCTGCTCCTCAAGTTTTAAGTGCTCGAGGCAATCCTTGTCCCAAATTATTCAGTTTGGTTCAATATCTGTATACTTACAAGTGAGATACATGAGCTTCCTGAATAACTCTCTAGATGAAGAGAGCCCATCTCAGCATGCTGTGCAGCTCTGCAAGAAGGCAGGAAGGATGAAAATGCTGAACAGCATAAGACTGAGAGTATAGCAGTTAGAAATGAGTGAAGCTAATCCCAGGCTGGTTTGTTTGTACCCTTTTTTATTCCTGTGTGCCATTTCCATCTCATTTTCCCACTGACTTCATTTTTCCCATTATGTTCTTGTTTTGGCAACTTTGTCTCCTTCCTGCCATGTACATTCTGTTGGGTTTGCTCCAACCAATTCTTATGAAAAGGAGTGATCCCTGAGTGACCACCACGCTTTCTGACACACTTCCTTGCAGACAGCTTACAGCTCTCTCAAACCTGCTCTTCTCCTAGGTTTGTTCTATTGACTTTTTACTTCTCCTCCTCTGGGTCTTGGTGTTCAATGTCACTTGATTCTGATCTTCTGGGTTCAGGGTATCTATTTGCATTGCAAAAACCACACTGCAGTCCACACAAGGGGAGTTGCTGAACTTTCTACGGTTGATCGAGCCAAAGAAGATTTACCTAAATGAAACCTACTGGAATATTTGTTTTGATTGTTAAAAACCACTGCTGCCTCTGTACATGTGAATAAAACTTAACCAAATGAATTCTGCTTGGACTCAGTGCTGCCTTGGTTTTTGTTTCCTTGTAGTGGCTCCTGCCATGCCAGGGCCACCTGCTCTGAGGGGGTTGAGAGGGTCAGCAGCAATTAAATATACAGCTTGCTTGGCAGTCCGGGGGGGAGAGATAGGACATGCTTGTGCTGCTCTTCTCTCCCCAAACCTGAAATACCTGTGTGTGGAAAGTCTCCAGTGAGGCGGGTGAGAAGGGCCATGACTTGAAGGCCTGTAAGTGAAGGATCAAATTCTCTCCATCAGGCCCAAATGGTGTGTTATCTCCCACCTCCCCTCACAGCTGGGCCTGATGTGAGGTGGGGCCAGGAGGGAGGTTACAGTGGTGGTATATATGTATAGTATTCACCTTTGGTGGTGTTGGAGCAGCCTCAGCACCAGGCATTGGGTACAGACTTGGTAACATGGACTGGGGCCAGCTGAGTGGAGCCCATGGCCTGGGCACAGCTGTAGGGCAACTAGGAACCCATGCAGCTTTGGTGTTCCTGGAATAGAGACCAACAGCCCAGAGGAGCTGTTTGGATGAGCTCTGCACACAGGCAGCACAGCACAGTGTCTGTTGGCATCTTGGCAGGGTTACCATCACGGGTCTGAGATTTAAGGCTTCAGCTGTAAGACTTGATAAGTATTAACAGAGTGCGGTGGTTTGTGTGTAGGTGTCTCAGAGGTGTTGATTTTGCCTTCAGATATGAAATATTTTCTCTCTCTGGTATGTGTTTTTACAATTCTGTTTTGCAACTACATTATGTTGGACTTTTGATACCACAGCTATCAGCCTATAGCAATAGCAATTCATTTGCCATTTGTTTCTTTTTGTGGGAAAGTTTAAACTGTATGAAGTTAGCACTTATGTCATGCCTCCCTTGCATTATCTCCTCATTGTGCATATCATGCTTAGAGAAGAATGGCCATAAGAAAACTTCTTGAATTGGAAAACTTTTTTTTTTTTTTTTTTTTTTTGGTCATAAACCAGGGCAAAAAAAAGCATCCACGAAGGGGTTTCAGTTGTTTCACAGCAGCCAGTATCTTTGTTTTCCCTGCTGTGCAGTTGACTTACAATTCTGGTACGTTTCCATTGTTTCCGAAATACGTATTTTTCATTGAATGAGAAGTTACAGGAAAAGTTAGAGATCTGCTGTTCATGACTGAGGATTTTGAAGGCAGTAGGATTTGTCTCTACAGCATGCTGACAGCTTGGCTCTGTGAATCCTGGCATGGAGCATAAACGCATCTTAGAAATATGTGGAAAATCATCATGAGCATTCAGGGAGTGTCCCTCACTTTATTCTGATGCATCTCATCCTATCTGACATCACCTGATGGGGTCAGGGTATATAAATATGTTAGAAAACCACATTGCTCCCATCACTTCCTCAGTCTTTTCGAGCTTTGCCCACTTCTGTAGGTTTGCCTCTTTGTTCCAGGTAGAAGTTGAGTTGACTTGCACGGTAGTTCACATGTCTGCCAGAAGCGTTTCTTGACAGTTCAATACAGTCAAGAGATCTGTGTTTCTCAAAATGCCTTTATTCATGCAATAATTCTACATTCTTTATGCCAGTGAACATGAATTGTGAATTGTTGAGGTTGCTGAAATTGTCTGTTTACTATGCTAAGGCAAATAGTTTACCAGAAGTAGTGTAAAGGGAGCACATCATCCCCAAAGAAAATTTAATGTAAGTCAGAGCGTGAAGATGTTTGCAACAGTGAGATAGTAGACTAAATGCACGGAAATTTTTCTGATAATTCATCCCAGCACTAGTTTCTTTGTGAGCTAATGAATGGAATATTTTAATTATCCTGGAGCTGGCCTACTACGTGTGATGTACTGTTTGTTTACTGCATAATAGGCTGTGGGACTTCAGAATTGTCATCCCTAACCTCTCCGTATCTAATAGATGCCTCTGTGGGACCTAACTGAAGTTTAACCACTCTGTGGCTACTGTATGGCCCCCCATGGCCTCCACTGGAGGAGTACTGTCACTGGGGCAGGGAGTGCAGACAGAGTGAGTGGAAGTGGCAGCAAAGTCATTGCTCATGAGATGCACAAAAGTCTGATGGATAGCATCAGTGTGCGCTCTTAGCAGTGGCCATGCTGAGAAGAAAATGATGGAAGATGAGCAGAGCTGGACAATGAGAATCTGGGAAGGCTTCTGCAGGCTGAGCTATTCTGAGACAGATCAGCTGACATCTGAGCTGGGGGAATGAAGGTAGAATCATAAAACTGTCTGAGTTGGAAGGGACCCTTAAGTGTCACCTAGTCCAACCCCCCACAATGAACAGCGGCACCTACAGCTACATCAAGTTTGCTCAGAGCCCCTTCCAGCCTTATCTTGAATGTCTCCAAGGACAGGGCATCCACCAACATTCTGGGCAACCTGGTCCAGTGCCTCACCACTCTTCTTGTAAAAAAAAAAAAAAAGTCTTAAAAAATTTCAATTGGGTAATTGAAATCTCCCCTCTGTTAGTTTGAAACCATTTCCCCTTGTCCTATCACAGTAGACTCTGCTAAGGAGTCTGTCCCCTTCCTTCTTATACCTCCCTTTAGATACCATAAGGTTGCTCTCAGGTCTTCCAGAGCATTCTCTTGTCCAGGGTGAACAGCCCCAGCTCTCACAGCCTGTCCTTGTAGGAGAAGTGTTTGTTTCATCCCCTGGATGATTTTTGTGGCCCTCCTCTGGGCACGCGCTAACAGGTCTGCATCTCTCCTGTACTGAGGACTCCACATCTGGACACAGTACTCCAGATGAGGTCTCACCAGCGCAGAGCAGAGATGCAGGATCACCTCCCTTGACCTGCTGGCCAGGCTGCTTCCACTCCCTGGTGAAAGTTGTGTGAAGGAAGATACTGAGGAGGTGTGGTGGGACTGGAATAAGTGTGGATCTGTGGGAGTTTTATATTACAGGCAGAGTCATTTCCAATTTCTGGCTTAAATCTCCTTTCAGAGGGAAGAACAGTTCCTGGTCTGTAATAACAGAGCTAGACAGTATACAATTTCTCCATAACTGCTGAAAATCCTTCCTATGCCTGTGCTGCCAGCTGCAGCTCCCTACGGGTGGAGGCCTCCGATCAGTTACCTCTGCTGCTCTCCTTCTTGAGAGAGGCCTATGGCCCCTAGATAAGCTATGTACATGCTCTAAGGAGCACAGAACAAGACTCATACCTCCCATGCCTAGTTCATCAGAAATTTTGCCTTTTGTGTTTTTCTTAATGGAGTTTTAATATGAAGTATTTCATTTTTAGTTTTCAATCCGTTGTGGCATAGCTTCAGCAGGACCATAGCAGGCTCTTGCCTCCACAAGCCACAGTAACGTGCCTGATTTATTTAAGCATACCTCTAAGTATTGGAATTTAGTGGGCTGAGGAGGGAATCGAGCCCAAATCTCCCCTTCTAGCTCCTTGACTAGAAACCAGAAGTGGTGGTCGTCTTACAAGGATGTTACAGGTTTAAATCTGAAGGATCATCTGTCGGATTACATGGCAATATTCAAGGTGCACATAAAGTGGAAAAAGCCACCTCTGCACCTTAGTGTTTCCTCTAGGCAAGCCCACACATTTCACTACCATGTGCGCTGGCTGGTTTGAATCCATTTTTGAGGCTCTCAGTCCTCTCCGTGTTTTCCTTTACCACCAGTGACCAAGTGGCTTGACGTATTGCAGTGCCTCGTGTTTAGATGCCTGAATCCTCTGCTGGATCTTGCTCAGGACTTGTCTGAGCATCATGTCTGCCTTTATGAACCTTTCAACAGACATCTGTGAGAACCACTTTCAAGAAAAGACAGGAAGCGCAGCCAGAACCAGAAGCACTGTTAAGGATTTCTTTTACTTTTTTCATTAGAAAATTCTACTATGGCTGTTTCTTTGGTATCCAGGTTATCCAATAGATGGTGCATTTCAAATGTCTCTGGAGCAGTAGCAGAAGTAACGCTTTTTCCATCACTTACCACAGTCCTTGGTTGTGAAGATGTTGCAGCATCTGTTACAAGATGTGCAGAGTCAGCACTGGGCATTGCACTGGGACTATGGAAGCTCGGTAAGCTCCATCGCTGGAGGTTTCTCTCATGATCTGTTATGAGACTAGCTATGTTACTATTGTGGGTTTCGTGTTTGGGCTCCCTTATGCTAGGCAGTGACTGATGCATCTCAGTACCTGGGAAGTGTGTAGTCACTTCTGGGGGGAATAAAGAAAGGTCCGTAAGAGACGCATCTGCCTCAGTTAGGCTCCTTTGGAGCTTCTCTTCTGGTGTGACTTCGGCGCTCTCTGCTTGCAGAGTTGGCTTGCCCAGCACATCAGGTTCTTTCCTCTCAGCTTCAGAGATGATGACCTCAGGAGCCGGCTTGTTCGTCTCAGATGAGGTGTCACTGTCATTGAGCAGCGCCTCATTCTTGGAGGTTTCGCTTATAGGTCCTAGATCCCTGCTACTGTGAAGTCTGCTACTTCGGTCAGCTCCTTCGTGTTTCCTCTTGAAGCTGGAAGTAGAATGTCTCCCCCTAGTGTGCATTTCCTGCAGCCGCCTGATGTGTCCCTTTTCATCTGCGGGGAAGAACACCGAATTCTCACTCGTCTGCCTGTTGTAGCGCCTGTGAGTGGGGGAGGAAGGGTGCTCGTGGACGCTGAGAAATCTCTTAACTCTCCTCAGCACTGAATGTTGTCTGTGGTGTTTCTCCTCTTCCCAGGGCCACTCTTCCCCATAGAGGAATTCTGTATCAGCCAGCCTGCCAAATAAAGTAGGTAAGTAGGTGTTACACGTAGCAAGTGTGCAGTCTGCATGCACATATATCCTACTATCTTGTCAGGAAGGCAGAAATGTTAGGAATCAAAAGCCCTTACGTGTCCCTCAGAAGGGCATGTCCCAGCAGGCTTGAGCTTAGGGTGAGGGTAGGGGGGGGAGAAGGAAAGCCTGCTCAGTGCTGTCCATCTAGAGAGACCTTCAGGCAAAAAAGAAAAAAGAAAAAACAGGAAAAAAAAAAGCTACTCCTGGAAGCAGAGTGAAACGGTTTCTAAATAAATAAATAAATGAATAATGCTAGACTCAGGTGGTCAGACCTCATTTAATTCCAAGGCATGATAGGGTATCTGAAAGTCTCACCTCTAGCTGGTGCTCTTCCCCTTCCCAGCCTTATGGTTAATGAGAACAGCTATTGTTTTGCTTGCCATGCCATGCATTACACACTATAGTCTGGGTTCATCTCAGAAGACAAGTCAAACAAGGCCATTCAGTTTTCCTAAGGGCAAGGACTACAAAAGGATGTGGGCCAAACCCGAGGCAAGGAGAGCAGGGAGGCAACACTGATACAGAAGGACAGAGGGCATCTCACTATGCATTTATGAGGCTGTTGGCTTCTTATTAAAAATTGTTCTCAGACTTAATGATATTTATTCTTTTTTTTTCCCCCGTGGTAATTAGAGTAAAATAAATTATAGTCTATGGATTTATCTTCTCTCTTGAATAATGTATAGGTTTTTTTTTTTTTTTTTTTTTTTTTTTTCCAGAATGAAAGAATTTCTGAAAAAGGTGGCATATGAGAAAAGGAACCAATACAAAGCACTGTTCCTTGCAGTAGAAGGCAAACAGAGCAAATAGGAGAAATAAAAATGAGAAAACATCAATTTGGTTTTCCAAGACCAAATGAATTAAAAAAAAAAAAAAAAAAAAAAAAAAAAACCCCACATTTTTTGCTTTGGTAAGGCTGGAATTTTTTTATTTATTTATTTTTTTTTTTCTGAAAAAATTGAGAACTTGTTGAAATAAATTATGAAGTTACAGGAAAGACTTCTATGCTGCTTTTGTAAACATACTCAGGTAAAAATGTTGACTTGCTCTGGCCTTTGCTGAGGCAGGATGATATTTACACACACTGACTGGTTTTATGCTAGGGTATGTCACAAGTGCTTAAACTCAACACCTGCTAAACTGACAGGCCCATCACTGCAGTCTAATACAGATTGCAACAACTCTGGGTGGTCCTGTAACTCTCAGTATTTCTTTACAACAAGGGTTATTTTGTATAACTCCTCTTCTTTACCCTTTCACAAATCCTGACCATTCCAGCTTCCTTGCCTGGATCATTACTCAATTAAAGGCCATACCACATTTCAGATCACTCCCTGTTCATATTCTCAAAAAGCTGGACTAATTTCAGCCATCATCTGCTACTCAAACGAACAAAGGAATAGCTGTTTGGTGGTGTATGGAGAAGCCATAGTAAGTGGAAAATTATTAAGAAGTCTGTCACTGTCTTCAGGTGCTGTCCAATAGTCAGAGAACATCTCTGAGCACTCCCCCCAGGCATTCTCTTGTTATTAATTAGACAACATGTGCTGTGGAAGCGCAATCTCTATGAGCACAGGGATTGCTGAAGACATCCTCCCGTCAACACCAGCCTGTCTACCCCCTCCCAGCAACACCCTTTCCACTCTTGACATTTCCCACTCACAGTATCATCCTATCTGTGAGCCCCATGCCTCTTTACCATGTTCCCCCAATGGAAACTGTCTTAACTATGTGTTACAAAATGCAGTTCTTGAGGCAGCTGTCTGGATGAGTGCTAATGAGCAGGACTGGCCACTGGAGACCAGTGAAGGTCCTGCAGCAGTCACTGGTACAGCCCACACCCCTCAGCTGCAGAGGTGGGGGCTGCAGCTGTGGCAATCTTGGTGGTGGCAGTAGGGACTGTTGTGCCACTCACCCCATTTCAATTGTTGATCCGAGGAATGAAGGAATGCAGTAATCAGCAGCTGCTTTTGTGTAGGGCGGCCGGGCGGAAGAATCGTTCCAGTAAATGTCTCTCTCCATTCTTGGTAAGTTCATGTGCATCTCATCCACCGCCAGAAGTGAGACCTTAGATTTTTTGAATAAATCATGTCACATTCAATTTATTACAGCATACAAAATAACCTGCTTTGTACTACTCAGCTCAATGGTTTTTTAGAGACACTTTAAACTAAACCGTCTGCTCTGGTCATTGTGAAGAAACTCAGTATTACTAAAATCCAGTCTTGATACCTTCATACACCTGTGAAAGTCTGAATTTTAATGCAACTTGAGTCTTGTGCTGTGAAGATGTTTCTTTGGGTCTGAAGTCCTTACTTCACCAACGGTGCGGTTAAAAGGACTTGTGATCCCAGTGTGCAGTGGGTAGTCTGTGTAATGTGTTTTGTTCCCCTGAATGTTCCACTGCCTGAGAAGATTTCTTCCACATTTTAACCCTTTCAGAATCAAATGTGACCGTCCCAGTTTAGGGCCTTGCGAGAGGTCTCATCAAAAGGGCTCTGCAACACCCTTGCAGCAGCCTGAGGTAGCATTAAGCCAGAGACCGAAGGCTCTGCTTTGGGATCTTCTCTGAGATATTATACAAGGAAGATTAATATACAACATTGCAATCATTAGACATTCAGATTAGCAAAGCTTGTTTTCATCTAAATGGGAGTGGATGGCTTTTGGATTTGGCAGGATTGACCCACATTACTTGCTTTTCCCGGCATAAGGTGAGCTTAGACTTGGAGGTCAGCTGTTTGCATGTTAGTCAGGAAAAAAAGCGATGCCAAATACCCAAACCAGGATGCATTAGCTTATGAAAATACAATCTGGGGATCATAGCTACAGGCACTGCTTCAGGGAAAGAGTTTGTTTTAATGACACTCATTGCCCTTAATTTGTACCTCGACGTAAGAAAGCGGATTAAATTTAATGATGATCTATGATACCGCAAAGCTGGAAGTAGAAATAACAACAGCAACCTGTAAATTTCGATCGATGCACCAATTAGTTTCAAAATCATCATCATCTTCTCCGAATGGATTAATAAGTTGTTCCGCGACCTGAGAGGGTGATGAGACAGTGAATAGAGGTTAACATGCAATGTCAGGACTGCTGCCTCAGAGCAAATATGATCTGATTTTTCTCTCTCTCCCTGCCTGTCACTTGCAATCATAACATGAGCTTCAGTGTGATGTTTGTGCCAGTCGAGCAGAGGAATATCTTGCTTTCTCTATGCATGCAGACCATGGTGTCTCATTGGTGCTGTCAGTCATGATTGTTGGTCCTGCTTTACAGGAACTGAGAAATGTCAGGGCCGCTGTGATTGTCACATGAGATAATCATTACCTTCCCTCACTGCTTCTCAAGCTGACTTACATTAGTGATTTAGCAATGGAAGGCTCTTGCATTATGGTCTATGATACTCCACTGGCCCACTCAGTGTTTCTAGGCAACATAGCTGAGGTCTTCTGGAAGGAACACAGCCCATCCCCTGAGTCCTGGACACCAGCCCCTGGCTGCTGCCGATTGACCTGAGGTCATGCTAACTGTATCCCTCTCAAGGTCTGAGAAAAGCAGCCTACCCAAAGGCTTGGCTCCAGTGAAAGTCATTTGGCATGGTAGCCAAAGCCAAGAGACAGCGTCTGAGTTTGTTCTTTAATTCAGCCTGGAGTTTCTGTTTCTGTAAATGAAGTGAGTAAAGCTGCAGGGGTAGAGACTATTTTGTGGAGGACGTGACTGCTCAGGGAGCTCAGGCAGGTCCATGGTGAGGTGCCTCAGGTGAAGGAAACCTCTTGGGCTGCCCTTGCCTCACTTACTCCCCACCTGCTAAGGCCTTAATAAGTGGAAAAATAATTGGAGGCTGCTCCAGGCCTCATGATCACCAAAAATCGTTATGGGGATGAAATCACTGCTGCTGAGGATGAAGAAAAATCTGAAATAGGAGAACTGGAAAAAAACAGCAGTGGGACATTCAGACTGCTTATTTCTCAGCTTCTTGGTGAACTAATGTTAAATATTCTCCCCTCCTCCACATTTTCCCTCTTTTTGTTTGTTTAAGCTAGTGATGCCATTGCTGATCCTGGAGGTGGCCAGGGCCATGCAGGGTGAGTGGAGAGACCCCACGCTCATCATGGTGTTGGGCAAAATGATCGCTATGGGCTGCTATGATCTAAATAACTTTTAATAGTAAGGCTGTCACTCCCTGGCTATTTATTTGCATGTGCCTCATGTTTAAGGACTGCTCAACTGCACTGTTACCTAACCGCTTGCTGACTCTCCTTTGCTAGTGGTGGAAGATGACAAATGAAATGCTGAGAAGACAAACTATAAGAACAAAAAAGGAGGCAGGAGGAGTGAGAAGCAGAAGGGGAACACCTCTGCTCACATTTGTGTGTGTGCCCTGGGGCATTACATTTCGGGTACAGCTATGTGGCTGCTGGAATCAGACGATGGCAGAATGCAAATGGCATTGTGGGTCTCCAGGGAAGGCACCAGATTAGCTCAGTGTTAACCTAGGAATTACTGCCCAAAAATCCACTGCAAAACCTCTCCCATGAGCTAAAAAAAACAGTGAGCAGGGTTAGGACAGAGGACATTTCCTGGCCACTAGCTTCTATTGTCTGGAGAGGAATGCAATGCTAGACAGCTAAGCCCTGTATTTGGATGGTCTGTCTATTGCAGCAATGAAATAGGGATTTAGCAGAGTCTCACGTGTTGGGAAACTTTGCCCCTGTATTGCAGGTATAACAAATCAGGCTTGAGGCCAAGGAATGAGCTCAGTTTTGCTATCATCTCTGAGGAATTGCCAAGTTACTGGAAGTCAATAGTGCTGGCCCTGTATGCACATTGGCAGCCAAAACCCAACGCGCTCAGCAGGAAACAGCTTTAACCTTCAGAACAGAAAGATATGCACTCTGTGGCAGTCTGAGGGAACACTGCTGATTTTGTCTGGTTTTTAGAAGCTGCTTTTCCTCCTCCTCATTCTCTTATGCAGAAGATTTCTCAGTTATAATGATATTCCATATCTATTGCCGGGAGTTGGCTGGAAGCCTGTAACTGGAGAAGATGGATATTGATGGAGAGGAAAGCATCCCCCATGGCTTCCTGACACATTGGGCAGAGTGGTCAGGAGGATAAGCTTCCAGTTTTGTAACCCACCAGGACAACCCTGAAAGGTAGTGCCTAGAGACAAAGCCTCATATCTATAATTTCAAAGAAAATCAGTGCTGAAACTCAATTAAAAAAGATAGGAATTTAAGGCCTGCAGGTATCTCACTTGCTATTAAACATAAAACATCATTAAGCAGGTGGCAAAACCAGATGGAAATCAAAGAAGAACCAATCCTAACTCTTTCTCATGTGCAAAGTTTTCCACATCCATGGATACTGCACTCCTCCTGCAGCAGAATCCTCTCCCTTCTTCCTTCTCCAGGCTGGCCTCTATACTGCAGCCTCTTTTCCCCCCAAAAAAATTTCCTGCCATACAGGACTAAAAGAGCTTACCCCGCAGGCCTCTGAAGAGTGGGCAGCTTTGCAATCCCTCCCCAAACCTTTGCAGTTCAACAGGTTGATATGCTGCATATTTTTACCCTACCATTTTGAGATGGCTGTGGGAAAAAAAACTCTAAAAATGGGGGCATTCAAGGAAAGAGGGCCAATTTTGTACTATTTATATCCTAAGAAAAGTGAACTTAAAATTTCCAGCTATGATTAATAATCCCAAGAGAAAACCTTTAAGTACGTGGGCCCTAATGTACAAATTTGCTTTTTACTTAAAACTTCTCTCAGTTAATCTATCTTGATCCTCACAGCAAAGAAGAGAGCCAGTGTGAGGTGTATGACTTAATTACTTATCTATCAGATCAACAGCAACATATTAACTAACCAGGCATCAATGGGCTGAGGGGTAGCATCCAAGGCCTTCCATAATTTTTCTTCTTAATGAATGCTTTTATGCAGTGAGACTGTAAGCAATAACAGCTATCACTGTTTGAGAGCCTTATGAAACAGGAGACCTTAAATTGTCTGAATCATATTAGTTAGTAGCAGACACTAAAGGCAGGCTGTGATCATAAGACGAAATTGTGATTTAGTTCCTTTCAGCCCATGCCAGGTCTGCAAAAGTATTTGCCCACCATATAGCCCAGTGGGAAAAATATTTAAAACATTTTTCATCTGTTACTTCATAGTCCACATCCAGGGACCAGATTTTGCTTTCTTAGGGAGTTGTTGCTGTGCTGCTCCAAATGAAATTGTATCTTTCAGGTTCCTGAAAACTCCTTATGGTAAGATCTTTTCGAGTGGAATTAACAATGTACTGGATAATTTTTCTTTATAACTACAGGACACTTTGGGCTGAATTTAGCTTTGCTGTAACTCCCCAAAACATTGGTGATTTTAGTGGGCCACAAATCTGACACTTCAGCAGCTCATGTAGGGAAGGTTCCCCCATTGCCTTCCCAGAATGCCAGCTTACCTTGAGCCATCCTGCATAGAAGAAGAACTGTAACAGCGTGAAGATTGGAACATAAAGATCTAAGTCATGTCCCTGATACCCCTGGTCAGTATCCAAAAACTGGCGGCCTATCAGGCAGGCAAAGAAAAAGGTATACACTGCAAGAGTAACAACCTGTGAAGAGAAAAACTAAATTGGAAATGTAATAATACAGTCTTATGCATAAGGCATCACAAATCCAAAGGCCTCCGACTGTCTTTTGTAATATTATTTACAAAACTGGAACAAAGTGTTACAAATAAAGAGGATGCAAGAGTAATCACTGCCAGGAGGTAGATCCAGGAAACAAAAACATCTTGGAGCTTCCTTGCTCTCCCAGATTATGAAAGGATTTCAAAACATCTCCACATTAAACATTAATTTTAACATTAAATATTTAGCCAGATGCTGATACTCGACAAGCCTCAGACATCTTGGAGATGCCAGTCCAGACTATGGATGTTTGGCACAACTGGCCCCTTTTACGGAAAAAGTGTTTCAAAGAAAACGGGTGAAAGAAACAATTCAGTACCTGTGTATAGACCAGAGGAATTCCAACCCAATCATAGCCAAACAAAAGGCTACACCAAGATCTGAACTTATTCATTTCCTGAAAAAAAAAAAAAGAGAGAAAAAGAAGAAACATATCCCAACAAACTAAAATGGCGTTAATCCTGAATGACAAACATTTAGTTATGGTCTATTTTTATACATGCAAAAGGGAGATAAGATGGTGTCGTATAAATTCACAGAATAATAATACTCAGCTGCTCATTGTAATGTTTGAATATTCACTTAATTTATGGAGTTGGAATGCTTAATATAATATCTATTTCTTCACAAATGATCTTTTGTTTCTGTCTTATATACAGCTTAGTGATATATGAGAGAATGCATTTTATTACATAAATAATGTCGGGCCACTTAACAAAATATTTAGGGAGTCTGTTTTCCCTGAAATTGACACTAAAATCTTTGAATTACCAAATAACAATCAGATTTTTTTTTTCTACAGTAATGGGCCAAGTATGAATTTACAGTGAGGCTTTTACTTACCAAACTGTTGTTTCAAGTAATTCTTTCTTAGTCATATAAACACAATCCCAGTGAACTTCTACAGTGTGTGTCTGAGTATACACTGGCACACCAGAAAAGTGTTATAGATTTTCTCTAAGATCTTTCAGATGACACTGGAGAGCTGAGTGCTCTAAATCAAGTTATGTAGGTGAAAAGCTACTGCATAGCAATTTAACACTGGTTTGCTGGAGGTTTACTTTTTCAACTTACATTCATTAGTGTCTGTAGATCCACACTGTCTCTAATTCTTCCCTCATTTCGTGCCTTCGATGCTAAATTTCCAAACCAGACAAACGGAACCCAATATTTCAGATGGGGAGACTTAAGGTCATCAAATATTTTTCTTTCATGTCTTGTCATAAAACCTGTTTATAAAACAACAACAAAAAACAAAACTGTGTTGACAGTGCAGCTTGTTATATACAATTATGTTTATTTGCATAGAACCATGCAAAACACTAATTATGATTCTAACTAGTAGCCTCCTTTTTTATTTATTTTCTCAGGTTGCATCTTGTTTGAAGCAATTGTTTTTGCTCTAACTACCTGAAAAGCAATCCCTATCCATCAATATATGTGACAATTTGCTATGCTTCAGCTCTCCTTTGTGACTGCTGAAATACTGTAGATACGTATAGCACTAAGCCTTGCACAGATTCACCAGATTACTCTCTAGTTTCATGTTCTACTTTTAGAAAAATAAGAAACTGGGTAACATCAGTCAATAAGGTATCACTTTTCGGCAATAATGGCTTTTAGCAGGATGTCATCATCTGTTCCGAGGGCAGTCGGATGACCTGGTTCTAATAATTTTTTGGTAAACCTGCAAGGTAGTGAGCAAGAAATGGAGCACACAAGCACACGTATGAAACAGCGCTCAGCTGAGAGCGTGCTTTCTGCCAACGAAATGCTTCTCTGCCAGATTTTGTATTTTCTTTGGGGCTATGCAGGGACACGAGGGGAAGGAAATGGAGTCACGCAGAGAAGCGCTACTGCTAGCGGTGCGCTGGGCCAGGCCCGGCTGTGGGCCTGCAGATTGAAGCTGTGTTCTGGCTGGCAGCCTGCCTGGCCGGGCGCTGGGAGGGCACCGTGCTTCCCGCCAAGGCAGCATGGCCTTGTGAAGCCCCGCTTCCCTCTGTTGTAAGGCACTCCAAGGGCAGCCAGGGCTATGTTTGACAAAATCGCCACTGCCTGGGATTGGCACGGGAGCAGCCCGCTTTTTGGAGCAACGCCTCAACCCCTTGGGCTTCGTGGATTGAAAAGCTTTGCTCTGCTCTGCTCTCCTCCCTTCACCCACACCTCTAAGAAATACAACGGAAATTTCACAAAGGGAATTTTACGTTTTCTTTTGCCTAGATCTCAGATATTCTGGGATTCGAGCAATCTTTAAGTCTGGGAAACCTAAGTTTTTGCTCAGATGGATGCAAGACTTCTTTTGTTGTGTTGATATTAACTCTGAAACAGTACAAAGTTAATAACAAAGTAGCTGCAAAATAAGGGACTTCTCCAGCTAATTATAAGTTTGAACAATAGTTTGAGTGCTGAAGATTCGATTTTGAATTAAGAATAGACACTAATTTTTCTAGACTCCAGCTATTAACTAGGAATTGGCCTGCTCTTAATAATGTTGCTAATTATACACCAAGCTATGAAAAATAAATGTATACAAACTCACACAGTTGTTTTTCTTGCACAAATATATGAATAAGGCAAGAACAGGTTTGTTAAACAAGGCAACCCTGATGAGATTGATGCTGCTGTTGTGTATTTGGAACCGCACAACACAGGAGGTATGAAATACTTTAAGTACTGAGATGGAGTACAAGGGTAGGACATGCTGCTGTTGAGCTAGAAGACAAGCAGTTCAGCAGTAAGACATGGTACTTTTGCAGAATCCTGGAACATAAAAGCAGGATAAGATATAGCTTTTAAAGGTCCCTTCACAGTTTGCATCCAGTTCTTATAACGAGTTGCACAGAAAAAATTGGGCAATCAGTTTATTGTGCTAGTTATGACTGCTCTGACTCCTGAGTGCCACTCTTTTAGGCTATCTTTGATTTTCATCTGACCAGCTTACTTACTGCAAGATAGGAGAAGAATGTTTTTATCATACTGGAATTGACAGACAGAATACAAAAAAACTGACAGTCTGGAGCATGAAATTCCCTGGAGAGGCTCTGGGAAGTCATTATTGAGGACACAGCCTGAGGGGGACATGAAGAATAGCAAAGCTCCAGGGATCAGTTCAGCTTTCCACTTAAATTGGGTATTTTTGTTCAGAAAACCAAGACAAAGCACCACTGTTTTCACAATAGCATTCAAATTGCCATTATTATTAAAGTCAAGGCATTCACGTTTACACTAATTAAACATTGTCTTTGATGGACATATATAATAGCTAGTAGAAAATATTAAACATTAGGAAATATTAAACATTTCTTGATTGCTGCTATTGCTGACAAAAGTTACTGCAGTAAAACCAATATGCAGTACAGAAGCACTTGTAACTGCTTGGATAAGGAAACATTTTCTATTCCATAAATTACAGGAGATTGTATTAAAGCTCATTTATTAAAATTAAATGGTTTCTAACTACGTTCATTAAATGTTTATTTAAAAGCATTCGAAGAATTAATTGAGAAATTCTGAACAAAACTGTTGGTTTTCACAAGAACTGGAAGATGGGGGCAGCTCCAGAAAACTGGAAATATTTGCAAATATTGTGCCAGGGTATTGAGATCTCAAGATGCATCTTGAGAAAGATGATCTAAGGAATGACAGGAATTAAATGCTTGGGAAAAAGAAAGTATTAAAATCTTGACAGTACAACCAGCAAAGAATGAAGAGACAGTAATGTGAACAGTGCCAACCAAAGTAATCTTATGGAAAAATTATTAATGAGAACATAACCCTGTCTGGAAAAATACACTTGTGCTCTCCCTGAAGTGCTTTATGGAATGTTTGGGTCTCCCATCAAAATGGCATGGACTGAGGCAAGACTGTTTCAAGATACCCATGTAAATAACTATAACATCCTGTGGTTAGAGGAAGAAAGATCTGATTGGCGATCATCTCCCACATCTCCCCAGAGTGTGCTAACAAAGGTTAAGCAGATACAAGTCCTACTTTCTGTTTCTCTGTCACGTGAGAAGGACTAATTAGATGCTTCATTCCAGCGGTAGGTCTGGGTCTGTGAATTTCAACCAGCAGTAGGCGTTCATGTCCCTGGGCTGATAACTCATGTTTCTCTTTGTGACTCCCTACTGCTTGTCTTGGGCTGCTCTCTGGCCAGCTGTTGTCTCATTACTCACATTTTCCAAGATTCATACTCTTGATCATCCAACTTTGCTCTCTCAACTTGCATCTAACAGGATTTGTAAACTCATGACTGTTAGGCACTGATGGTCGTGGCACATGTGTCACAGTACTCAACATCTCAACGTCATATACATCAATCTACTGCCTACAGTTCCATAACAAATGTTAAAAAATGAAAAAGAGTTTAGAAAAGAGTTATGAGGAAGATCAAGATATGAAGACCATACCTTATCAGGGAGAGACTAAAGAAGACCAATCTTGTAAGTTTTCTCAAGCCCCTATACACTCTGCTAATAAGTAATTATTGATAGGAAACATTGATTTTATCTAATTAAAAAAAGAACAACCAAACCCATTTAAAAATCCAGTGACTTAGAAGATGACTGTATGCAAGTTCAGACTTGGAATGAAAGTCCACTTTTCAACAGTGAGTTCACAATTGTGAATGTCAGATCTGTTTATTCTCCATTGTACTCAGCTGAATTTTAAATCAGGGCTGCTCGGATTCCTAGAAGGTATTATAGTTCAGTCAGAAATTGCAATTTGAAAAGGAGATGGTGAATAAGCTTTTATGCCATGTGTTGTGGATGAGTCAGACTAGATTATCATAATACTGCTCCCAGATTTAAAACTACAAATTTAAGCAGTTCATTTGCTGAGAAGGGAAACATGTAGCAGTACTTATAGCACGGTGGTTCTCAGTTTGAGAACAAAATGCAAAATCGGCACAAGTTGTTTCAGTGATGATTGCTCTGCAAGTATCAGATTCTGCCACTCACATTCATACTAAATGTTGCAGCCTGTTATATAATGCTGTGGGGAATTAGGGAGGGGATAATTACAGAGTACTATCTTAATCACTCAGTGTTAGTAGTAGCAATATCTACTCTCAAGTGCTCAATACCACATCAACAAAAATTCTGCAGCACAGTATGTATAAGAGCCTACACAATCTGTACTGAAATCCACCAAGATGCCTATACTGTCAATATTTAGTGATGCTGTTTATACTAGAATGTTTTCCAACGTACAGGGGGAAAAAAAAAAAAAAAGAAAAAAAAAGAAAAAAAAGAAAAAAAGAACTCTTGTTTTCCAGTCTACAATTTTGTCTCTTTTGGAACAGATTGTCTTTAGCAATAGGGAGGCAGAGCTGGATTAGCCTGTTGGAAATGTGGTAATTTTCCAGTGTGTGCTAGAAGCAGATTGCTGGGGAGAGTGACAGAAGCTTCCTTGACCTCTTGCAGGCTCAGGTAAACAATTTTGTTGGAAAGCAAAAGGAATAGAACTTCAACTGAATTTTGAAAATGGGATGAAAACACAAATGATTTCTTATGGTAAGATGCATGCATTCTGCATTCTGCATTCTGCATTCTGCATTCTGCGTTCTGCATTTTGACTGGATTTCTTTTTTTCAACACCCAAAGCTTCTTGCGTATATTTGAATTTGTATTTGTATATATGCACTGCATAATTTAACTTGCTACAACTTTGCTTACTAATCTGTGCCAAAGGAATAATTTTAAGAAATGCAAGATTTTCAGTAAAAATATGACTTCTGCTATTTGGATGAGATCACCAAATCTCTGTAGAGAGAAAATAAAGCCTCGTTCAATACGTGTATGAAGCAAACACCTTCCTACCCCGTGCCCCTACCCGTGTGGGGAAGTAAGAAATTCTCAGAGAAGGACGCAGCAGTACCTGCACCCACCACATGGTCCATGGTGGGAAACCTCTTGTACACAGCTGTGCTCACAGAGCGAAAGATCAGCAGAGAAGTTAAATTCACATAACGCATTAGAGTCCTCCTGATCAAGCGGCCATATTCATCTCTTCCCTGGACACAGCTAGAGATCAAGAACATCAGTCGGTCTGGCCATGGCAAATTCACAAACTGGTTCCACCAGCGATTCACCACCAGCGTGACATAGAAACCTGTGTGTGAGAAGGAAAAATGTTCAGTGCCTTTCAGTGCTTCAGTTTAGCTTACTTTGATTTAGATTGTAGAGTGTCATTCACATCACTAAGCTGCTCCTTGTACCAGAATAAATGTAGTATGTCAAGTCAAAAACAGTATGCAATCAAAACTTATTATTTAGTAGACACTGCAACTTTATGACCTGTTACAGCTGAGTATCTCATACAGTGTTAACACAAACTTCCAGATTTTCTCTTTTGTAGTAAATGTTGAATGTTTTTAGTGCTTTGAAAGGTCAGGCACCATGTATCAATGTTAGTGGGCGCTGTATATGTTTATACATATATATATGTATGAAAATACTTTCTGTTGGGATATTAAGAACTGAGCATAAATGTTGATGTGACAAAAGCAACTTGACTTTAAGGAGACCTTCTTTAAACTCCCTCATCTCTTCAATGCTTCCATGCACCGGCATTAACAAGATGCCTGAACAGAGACAGTGTTGGAGAGTAATTTCACATGTAACTAGTACTTACCAAGCACAAAAGTTACTGGGATTTGTTCAGCGTATTTGTCACAGTAAATTGATAATTTTTCAAAGAACCGCTTTTGGCTTCCTGTAAGAAAAAATCTGCAGCAAAAATAAAATGTATATGTCCTTTTGTAGTATTCTGGCTCTTGCTAGAGTGCAAATACATACAAGAGAGCAAGCTTGGCTAACGTCTCCAGGCAGATTCTTAAAGTGCTGAACACTTGTAGCAAGTAATAAAGAAACTGGAGAAGACGATAGTATTCTCTTGCCTTTGTAGTTTCCTAATTCAACTAGCACTACTAATTAAAATCAGTGCACATTGAGAACTAGCAAGCTATCCCATCGAGGCCAATGATGACAGTAAGAGGTGAGTCAGCAAGCAGAGCTTGCTCTCCTGTTTTCCGGAGAGCTGCTCGAAAAAAATGCTCAGGGCTGCTTGAATTGCAAAAGGTTACCAATCTCTACTGGCTGTTATTTGAAAATGCCACATAGTTGCAGCAGTTTTTGCTCTTACTCCCACAAAATTTTGCTTATCCACCAAAGAAAAATGCAACAGTGCCTATCTTATAGTGGGGAAAAGATTCACCACATAGTAGAAAATGAGTGGAGCCCAGCAGCTTTTCCCATGGCGCGAGTTATCTAATGAAATACAAAAACATGAGCCATTATTTTATTTGAATATATGAGTATTACAGCCACTCTTTGATTTCACGTGGCAAATATTTAGTGGATTTTCTTATGGTTTTGTAGTAAAGTCTAAAGTGCATATGAAATGCTTTCCATTCCATATTTACTATGGTTTTTAATTGCTTAACTTTTGGGTGAAACTAGTTAATTTAATAAATTTCCGACTTCAGTGGTGTTCTTTTAATGTATTAATACTGTAGTTTTCTTTCTGAATGCACAGGGATAGACCACTGAATGTGTTGCCAAATTGTTGATTAAATATAGACAAACAGATGCTAATTTTCTTTGCTATCCATAAAAAGAAAACGTTGCAATCTAATTACACATCAAGGTAAGAGCTGAATCATGATTTTGATACTAATGTTAGTGCACTTCATCAATTAAAGGCTCACTGCACTAAATGATGCATTGCTGCTGCTTATCTCACACCTCAGTAGAATAAGGAGATGTTCCTCTGGTGCTGTTCTGCATACAGGCAATAACCACAGCCGTGTTCCATGCAGTCTTGCAAAATTAGGTCCTTAAAATAAAGGTTGGCAATCTCTTCTAGCTTGAAGGAAAACCTCACAGTTCCTGAGAAAAGACTAAATATAACCTCTGCCTCAAATTAATCCTTTCTGTGTCGTCAGTGAAATTATCTCCGAGTAGCTGTCAAAATACAGCAAGCAGAATGAAAGGCCTATTCTCATCACTCAGAGAAGAGAGGCACATTGTCAGAACAATAATGGCCAGGTAGAAATTGTGAGCTAGCTGTGGGCATTTGTTTGTCATAACTAATTCAGGCTATCTTATTTGGCTTAACTTCAGAAGAACTGTTCAACACAGGCAAAGGACTGAGCTCATTCAAATCAAATCATAGTCATAGAATCACCGCACTACCAAGGTTGGAAAAGACCTCCATGATCATCCAGTCTAACCATCCACCTATCACCGGTATTTCCCCACTAAACCATGTTCCTCATTACGACATCTAAACGTTTCAAATATGATAGACTGTATCTTATTTACACTCCACATGCTTCCTATGGAACTTTAAAGTAAATGTGGAAATGAGAGGACATTAGAAATGTCCAAAGAAAAGCCAACTTTGTAGTACCCCCCGCCCCAAACTCACTTATCAGCCTAATGCTATGAAGTGTGAAACTTCAGTACAACATTTAATGAGATGTGAATTGTAAAGAGTGTACCTGTATAATACACTTATCGCTGTGTAAAGGGTAGCAAAAACAATAAATTCTCTGTACAGCAATTTGTAGATGCTGCCTTTCCACTTTAGGAGTAATCTGTGAAATCCAAAGAAAGTGGCATTTGCTACTTTGCTGGAATAAGTGACTGTCATCGTCTTGGCAGGCTGAGCCTAGAAACAGTAGAAGAGAAGCAGGAAACCAACAACATTTTAGACAGCATATCCTAACCTGAATGCAGCCATGTATAGATAGATAGATACACAGATACACACACACATACAGACATACAATGCTAGATGTATACAGATATACATGCTGTTTTTCTATATATGAAAAGAGAGAGAAGTGTGGAGGTGTTGTGGTTTTGTGCCTCGCTGAGACCTGCAGGTCGATGGATGCAGCTTTGCACTTGGGGATGGCCCCAGCCACCAGCCAAAGGCACGGCCAGTGCCGAACCTTGGGTGGCAGCAGCAGTGCCGGAAGGGATGCATCACACCCCCAAAGCTTTTGTGTACTCCCAGTTTGCTCCAGTCTGGTGCAAGAAAAGAAAAGAAAGCAAATTCGCTTGAAAAATTTCCAGTGCTCCAGCAATAGAAGCAAAGCTAAAATTCCTAAATACCCCTTCCTCCCCAGCCAGTATTTTTAGCTGGCTTTGGTAATTATGGTCATCGAGAAGCAAAAGAGATCTGGAGGCAGCTTCTTTCATTAATAGTTACGACAGCAGCTGAGGGTGGCTGGGGAGCCCTGTTATTTGGCTCCTTGGCAGCCAGGCATGCTCATCACTTCGCTTCGGCATTGCATGACCATGCAAAGAGCCATGAGGTTGCTCAGGTCCACAGTGTGCAATGCAGCCTAATTAAAGCAATGCCAAAAAAGTACAGGTAAATAGTATGCTCTGGTGTTCATTCTTGCTTACTGAGCGTAGGGATGCCACAGCAGCTTTTATGTGCTTACAGAAAACTCTAAATATGGATGACAGCAGTTTTGTACAGCACTTTAGAAAGGGAGCAAACAAGACAAGCGCAAAGCCTCAAGGTAGTCATCATTGAGACACTAGCCTAAATGTGATTCTTGGCTGTATTTTCTTGGTGCCAGGGTAGGTCATTAACTCTCAGAACAAAATATGAACCCACGGTTAATTGATGGCTAGATAGTATTCAATGCAGTTTGGCTACATCTCCTATGCAGAGCGTAAAAACAGACCATTAAAATTCAGCTGTAAAAGTGCCACTTTTTCTTTTACTTATCAGGGAATCAGCAGAGAAAAGACACCATAAGCCTCCTATTACTGACAGACTGTCTGTTCCCATGTGCCGAATGTCTGCTTGAGTTTGCCAGCTTGGGCTCTGAGATTTTTGTTTTTTTCCGTGTTTTTTTTTTTTTTTTTTGCTTTTTTTTTTTTTTTTTTTGAGTTGCATAGCTTTTATTCCCTAGCATCCAAATGATAGCTTTTCTGCTTCTAGGACTTGGCACATCTCTTTCAATTTCATTGTTGTCATTGAACTCCAGAAAGTTCATCTTGGGAGCCAAGCTGACTGCCTGGCAAGCAGCAAGCAGCCCTTCTGCTGGGAAGCCTGTGGTCAGGATGCAACATTTAAGAAAATGGAAGTAGAGATCTCCATTCTTGAGCAGAAACAGGGCTTTATAAGCACGGAGAGAAGTCTGTGGCTAAGCTACAGGGTGGGAATAGGGTAGAAAAGCACTGTCAGTGCACACTGAGTGTCCTTAGATAGCTGTAGAAGAATTCTGCCCTTGCCTGTGAATGACAAACTGTGTGTTCAAACAGTACAGTGAAGCAACCTTCTCCCCACTAATATACAGCTCAAAATGGAACTGTATAGAGGCACAGATATTGACAAGATATCTGATAATGTGATGACTTAATAGCTAGGCTGGTACCCTTTCAGGGTGCAGGGAACAGAAGGAGAAGTCAGACAAACGCAATCTGAAGTAAAACATAAATTCTTGACTGGGGAGGCAATCAAACATTGGAACTGGTCTCCTCTGGTGTCGATAAATTTTCTGTTTATTTTCCTCTGTCATGGACCATGAAGGAAAAAGAACTGCAGCTGTGCAGGAAGACAGTGATTCACATCAAACCCATAGCTGTTTCTGCCCAGAGTTCAGAAACCACCTTCACCACCACTCCCTTGAACTGGGCACAAGGCTGTGTTTCTTCCCCCACTTCCCTTCCCATCACTGAGATCTGTGTATGTAGTGCGTTCCCCTTGGCTTTCCTCTGAAACATCAAAGACTGTATGGTGCCAAAAATTGGCACTAATTAGCTGGACAAATTGGGTTCACCTCCTCTGAGGACCTGCAGCAATGCCTAGGGGGTGGATTTTGGCTACAGCTGCAGAGATGTAATGGTAACAGGATTCCAGATTAAATATTTTCCCCTACATTAAACTGGGAGAGGTGATTTTTCTGCAGTGTGTCTTCTTAATTCCAGAGGCTACATTTCACTTAATCAGATTCCTGCCACCTCTATTAGCACTTTGAAGCCCTTGGCTACGAGCAGAAAATCTTCACATGAGTTCAGGAGGTGCTGGATACCAGCATATTTTTATTTCTGCATCTGGAATGGGGCAAATAGAAGTGGGACTCTTACAGAAGTTTCAGGCTGTGGTGCCTTTGTTTTCCTTCCTTTCCTGAGACACTCTGTATTTTAAGCTCCTGCTAAGAAAATGCTTTACTGAACATTTCTCATTGGGTTCATACAGGGTATTCAGGGTGAAATGTAATGTCCTAAAATATACATTAGGTCATGTTAGGTGATTGAAGATCGCTTTGGACTATAGGAAGCCATGACAGACAGCAACATACCTGTCTGGTTAGATCTCACAACATCTCAAATACAGATTTAATTCTACACTTGTGCTTTTCCTCCATGAACAGCTACCCTCACTGGGGTACAGCACACCCACATTTACGTGTCAAGTTCTCATGTGAATCTATGGTTGACTCCTGCCCGGTGCTTCCAACTCATGGGGCATGGGCAGCATTTGCCTGAGAGTCCTTCTAACATTACTCATGATAACAGGAAATTAAAAAGCTAAAGCTGAGGCTGACAGGAAGAGCAAATGATCGCAATGCCTCCAGCGCATTCCTGCCTATCTTGGCTGGGGCACAGAGGGACAGAGCTCTGGATCAGACACCACAGTAACTGCTGCTGCGGACTTACCGATCAATCGCATTGCCCTGCCTCAATCAGCAGATAAAGGGTTAGGCTTTTTGTTGGTTTGGATTTGAGGGTTTCGATGACATGACACGAGTTATACACCTTTTGTGCCAGCAAATGCATTGGCTCGCATCTGTGACATTGCTTTCTCTTTGGCTCAAGAAACTTTCTCCAGCCTGGACTGAAATGTGAGTTATAAAGCATTTCACTTTTGCTAAGATCATCAGAAGCCCTTAGATATAAGTGCCTAAAAATAAAAGATTTTTTTCCCCTACTGATACTGAGACCAAATGTAAATGGGTTTTTTGCCTGGCTGAGAATTTCAGGATGCATTAGTGTTCAGAGAGAAACCACAGTAAAAAATAACAGCAATCAGTGTTCCCTAACTGACCATTAAAGGGGCATTACAGAACATAGAAATAAATAGTGCCTCTGCACAGATCTTCCCCTTGTCACTGAGTTATCTGATATATGAGTGTATGCTACATTAGAGAAAACAAGCAAGAGAGAGAGATTCGCGCTAACCAAATGCAAAAGCACGCTGAGCACTCTCTGTGCCCACTGACCTGCTGTGTGGATCTGGCAGTCCAGGCACGAAGGCAAATCCCACACCCTTCCTCCTGTTCTGATGTCCCACACGGAGATCCGCTTGGGCTGCTGTCGTCCTGTGCTCTTCCCGTAACCTGGAGCAGGGAGTTGCTTCCACTCAGTCCCGGGAAGAGAGGACTGACAAGCACAGGGGTTAAAATGACTTTCCACTTCTGGAAGGCTGTTTTTGCCAAGTCCTCCGTCCTGTCAGTTACACAGGGAACAAACGCAAGCAGCAGCGGCAGCTGCTGATCTTGCTCTTTTCTAGTCTATAATTATAACGCCGGTTGCCGTCGGAAGGACCCCTTTCATTTGGATGCAGAGTCTCGCCATGGCTTGGCTGGCACCTCCCGTTTTCTTCGTTTTACTCCCTGTCCCAAAGTGGGACAGACAAGAAGCATTTTCCACCATGACCTTTAAAGATTTGCCTCCTTGCACCTAGCTCTGCAGAGACATGTTAGGGAATGGCACAGAGTGCACCTAAATAGGAAGACTGGACAACCTGGGCAAATCTGGGACAAACTGGGGGATGTGCCACAGCTGCTCTTGGATCACCCCCTGGGGTGCATTGCTGTTCTCTTGCTGACCTGCTGCCTGGAATTGGGAAATTAGAACTGCAGGGCACGCTGCAGAAAACACCCATTCCTCAAAACAGGTGTAGTTGTTGTTATAGGAAGTCATATTGGGCTAACTGAACCTGTCCACAACAGCCTTTGTCTGGCTGGAGGGAACTCCTTCCCCCCTTCCCCTCTGCAAAATGAGATGAACTCCCTCTTTAATGACTCCTGGCATTAAGAGGCAGCTGTAAAAGGTGACAGACTGAAAGCCTGGGAGACGTCATAAAATGTTGACATAAATCTCTATGGAGAATGGAATAATGTGACTATGAAATAAATAAAGAAGTCACAGGGGGACAGAGTAAGCAAGATTTATAGACTTAATACATTTTATGATGAAAGATCTTTCCCCCTGCCTCAGCCCCATTATAAGGCACAAGAACTATCCAAGAGCACTTATTTAATTAAAACTCTCTCTGAAAGCAAATGAGTCGCTATCACTGTTTGCATTTCTTCTCATTGGCAGTTGCAGGAGGAAGACACTTTGATGTCAAAGCGGGTGAGACATGAGACTGGGGCATGTGTGTTTCAGGCAGTGGCCTGCAGTGAAAGATGACAAATCATTTTAGCATTTGGTGACTTGGCATAAGGAAACATGCTGCCCGATCCTATTACAGCGACTGCCCTCTGCCAGAAAGCTCCTAACGACGGGGATCTTCTAAGGTTGCTATTAAGAGAATTACTCAGACTTAAAACATGGTTGGGTTTTTTTTGTTTTGTTTTTTTTTGTTTGTTTGTTTTTTGTTTTTTTGCTGACCAAAAAATT